ATGCAAGCCTATACACACGCATGCATGCACGCACATACACACACATCTTAAATATGTATGTATATTTATGCGGTATCAGTTTCCATGTAAATATACTTAATCAAAATGCGAATTCATTAAAAAAAAAAAAGAAAACCTCCTTGAAGGAACGATGGAGATGGCTCAGTAAAGCGCTTGCCATGCAACCCCAAGAATCCCAGTTCAATCCACAGGACCATGTACTTAACAGACAAGAGAGGAGACATGAAGACAGCATCCTGGCACTGGGGTTGCAGAGACAAGGTGAGTCCTAGGACTTGCTGGCCAGTCTAGTTGAACCCATGAGCTCCAGACTCAGTGAGAACATGTCTCAAAAACCAAGATGGCAAGCGACTGGAGAAGAGAACCAGTGTCCTTCTCTGGCACATTTACACACGCGTGTGCCCAAACACACTACAATCCCCGCAGAGGCATGCAAAATACCTAAGTTATTTTTTTAAAGTATGTCACTGAGTTTGTGACAGCATATTTGTCATTATTTGTCCTCTGATAATTCATCCAACAATTCCGTGATCTTTTTTTTTTTTTTTGTAAGGATCCACGAAAACTGAATCTTAAATGGGGGTCTTTGTTCTGGGAATATTGAGAATCACTCACTTGGAATATAATAAATTTACAGGAGGATTCAACGACATGGTCAAACAAACAGACTCCACTTAATGTTCCTCTGCGTCAAAAAAGCAAAAGCTAGAACTTGCATAAATACAATCCGGACGTATCTGAAGGTCACCAACAGAACATCTGGCTCAAGGGACGCATACAGCGTGTGGCTGTCCACTGAGACAGCTCCTATGCGTTCATGCCTGGGGCCGGGTTCTCAGTGCTAGGTCGAGAAATAGCATGGCTAAGTGCAAGGATGATGTGTGAGATTCTGCAAGCCAGGTCCTCGGTAACCAGGTGGTTTAGTTTTATGTGCTAAAAAAACAAGGCTCCACCACGGACATGGTAAAAAAAAAAAACACACACACACACACACACAAAACAACCAAGTGGGGATCTTCAACCGCCTGGAACCAGAGCTGCTCTGAGTCGCTCTCCTTCCCTTTTTCTCTGGAGTGTCTCCTTAACCTAGGAATATCAGATTATTTTAAGTGAGTTATGTCTTAAGACTGTCGTTATGAAAAGACGTATAAATTCAAGGTTGGCAGCCATCATCCGGGAGCCGGAAGTTAGAACTGTGACGTGCGCCTTTCTTTGGCTGTGAAAGCCTCTCTCGCGTGTCGTGTCGTCCAAGTCGATTGTCTCCCGTGGCCCTCGCAGGCTTTCCCTGGCCGCTCCCTGATGAGGGCAGATACTGAACTGAGTCTTAGTTCCTCCAGTTCCGGAGCAAAGTGAGACGTAGCTTCTCTCCAATTAGTGAAGAATGAATGATCTAGAACCTCAGACCCAATTCTCAAGGCACGTGGTGTCGCGTGTTGCATGTTCACGTGATTAAGCCTTTTAGCAGCTGGACTCTCAAGCACTCGCCCCTGACATAGGACAGCGAAATAGTTTCTTTCCTTCCCTCTACATTCAATTCAGGCATTATGTTACACAGTGAAACCAATTCAGCTCCATCAGAACGAGTAGGGAGTGCAAACAGCAGGAGGGAATTAAGTGCTGAGCATTAAATTAACCTCCAGGCAGCAGTGTCTCTAATTCGGAGCCTTGAGAAGCAGCACCGCTCTTGCGCAGAGATGCAAGAGAACTCGGAGTTCAAATGCACCTGAACGCTAGGACAGAGACAAGAACTCGGAAAAGTTGGCTATTTCGAGCTTACGGATTCTTTCATGATGCCGTACTCTGTACGTCTTAGCTAACGAGTTATCACATCTGCTGCCTGTGGCGGATGGGACAGTGGTCCGGGGGAGGGCGGGCTCACAGAAACACATTTAAAAGCTCCGGACTTCGCACTCACACAACGGCACCTCCTCCTCCTCAGTGCTGGGCTGTTTTCAGCATCCATGTCCATCTCTGGCTTCTGGCCCTTCCTTAACTTGAAACACCCCCCCCCCCACACACACACACACACTCCTTATCTGCACCCTGCACCCTCTCCCCACTTCCCTACTTACACCAAAGACTGTCTTCAAGGATGGGGAAGCCCTATCTCCTCTCTACAAACTCCAGAATTCCCGAGCCTCTAAAATTCTCATGTCTAGACTATTGAGCTTGTAAGTGCTCTCTCCTGGTGAGAACATTCCTCATGGAGAACATTTTTTTCCCCTTTCCCTTTCTTTTCTTTGACACAGAATGTTTCTTCAAAGCACATGAGGAAGGATGTTTCTAATGTCCGCTCTCCAGAAACCTGTGTGTCTTCAGTGTTTTGCATGCTGGGCATAAGCAGTGGATTTGATGCTATTCGCTTTGTTCAGACTGTTCATATACAAAAGCTTCTGCAGAGTTGGAGAAGCGGACTCGGGTTAATGTTTACAACGTTCTGATGATACACAGAAGACACACCTCTACTCCACAGGACTCCCTGGCATCCCTGTGTCTCTGCCATCTAGATTCTTGGCTCTGTTTACCTTCCGCCCCTTGTGAAAAATGTGTGATTTCTCTACTCTTCATTTTAAGAAATGAATTCTTAAAATATAGTGTTTTGCATACCACAAGCTATCTGGAGTTATTTACTATTGCCAAAACTCAACATGCCGATGCCTCCAATCTGGTGCATATTCTGCATTGTACATTTGCTATGGAACATGGGCCCTAGTTAGCAGAACCCTAGAATCCCAAGGCAGATGGTGCTTTAATTAGAGAAGGAAAGCGGCTGTCCTCTGCCTTCTGAGCATCAAGCTGGCAATGATGGGGAGAACTACAGGACAAGCAGAAGCGGTGAATGGCCCATGCCTTCCCGTTCTGATCACTCAGACGCTAACAACCGAGAGAACCCCGAGTCGTGAACACATGAACGTCTGGGAATCTCCCGAAAACCTGTGGGAAGGTCTCAAGAAACCACTCGCACGACTTGGTCCCAATGTTAGCATCTAATACTAAATACAGGAGAAAATGAATTAGAATTCCCAAGCCCTATAGACTAATTTGACATAAATCTCCAGTAAAATTAAAGGCATGAGCAGGCAAGGCTGGGGTGGGGCAGAGGTCTGTATTTCTACCAGTCGGAAGCTGACTGGTTCCCTCGGAGTCAAACCCGGAGGCTCTTTCCCCACAAGGCACTTGATTAAACTTTCCTTTCCTGAAATCCTTAGCGAAAACACGGACAGACTAGAACAGTTTAAGCGCCGAACTCCCTGACTCACTAATATCTGTAGGGACCCAACTATATTGGCAATCTCTTTTCTGCCTTCCTCAGTTCTTTGGAGTTCAGCAATGGGCCTGAAAGTGGATGGCATTAGCCTCATTTTACGATCTGTGGAAGAGTGCATACCAGGCTTCAAAGTTCAAACCTCCAGAGCCTTTTCTAGCGTGGCCCAGGCTCCTCACTGCGCAGCCTTTCCACCAGGCCTTGGGCTCCTAACTGTGCAACCTTCAGCACGAAAGGACCCGTGCTGGGCGTTCTCAAATGTGGAGAATTAACACAATGGCTGTCAGAATCAAAGTTGAAATGTTTCTGTTAACGTGGAGATTAAAGGTTTAAAGAGAGAGAAACCAAAAGAGAGAAAGCGGTCCACTTAGGAAGCACGAAGCTGCACAATTTAGAGATTAATAAAGTTGACTTTTGGTAGAAAGTCGTGTTCTGACTGTTCACAATAAAACCGCTGTTTAATCAATTTTGGTTTATTCATTAAAGACAAGCCTGCTGTGGCTTCTGAGCACCTATATGTACCGTGTGAGTTAACGTTTCCCTCCTCACAGCTGCCAGCCAAACAGACACAACTGTCGCTTCAAGCCTTTCCTTTCTCTTTTCTCCTTTCTTTCTGTATTTTCTTTTTTTTTGGGGGGGGGAGGGGAGTGAGTGGGACGGACTGCAGATGGAAGTTTTAGATTTCCTTTGCAAAAAGAAGAATTCTTGCATGTAATTCCAGAAGCCGGGAGGTTCTTGGCTAGGGCAGGACTGAGGAGACACAGGTCCCCAGAAGCCCTTGTCAGCATGGCCTTGCTGACACAAACGGGAAGTTACCTCCAAACACACAGGGAGTTTTCTGACATAGAAGTGGCCAATCAAAACCTAGCTTCTACCAGAAGTGAGGTTTGGACAGTCTATTGAAATTAACAGGGCAGGCAGACCACTAGACGAAAGTACTAGAAAGTTATTAGAAAGAAGAAAAGGGTCAAATCTGAAGTTAGACTTTGTCCAGAACCATTCTGCTTAAATAACGTTAGTCCCCATCTATACGGGCACGAGAACTATCTCGGGAACCATAAACAACCTTCATTCGAAGGAAAACCAGATTATTTGCCTGCTGATGTTGCCACAGTAGAAATAGACGCTTTAATTCCCTGAAATTGTACCTCAAAATCTCCATCTGATATTTAGATGTAGCAGTTTCTGTGGCTAGTCACTAGTTTACAGTGTGGTATTACCGCCAATAAAGGACGGGGAGGGGTCAGACGGGAGACAGAAACTCCCTGCTTCTCAGAGCCTTCTCTGGCGGCTGAGGAACCTAAGGGTCTACTCTTCCACTTCTTTCTCATTTGCATGATTTCCCCTCAAGATTCAGCCTCCCACGGCTTCCAAGAGTACAAGGCATCAATACTTCGCTCGTCATGTGCCACTCAGCACAAGCCTGACAGGTTGGCGTGCGCCTGTAGCGGCCTTGACCTGAAACCCTTCATTCACTTTTCAGGTGGGAAGGGAATCTGCACCCCACAAAGAAATACTTGAATTTGAGGGCTGAGAACAAGATCGGGAGGGCGGAGCTAGCGGCTCAATTAAGGACCTGGGTTGTGAGGATGTATCCGGGACAGCTGTGAAATGTTCCATACAATTAACTCCCTCAACTCCAGCTTTCCTGGCTTGGAATGGGAAAAGGTCACAGCAACCGAGCAGGACACCCACCTCCCAGATGTTCACTTACCCTACACAGGGGCGGCGTAGCTGTGCAGCCATCGCGGGTCTGCACGGCCTCGGCGTGGGTGCTCGGCGAGCCTCATGCCCCTGGCCGTAGCCGGGGCTCCCGGGTCAGGAGCTGCTCCGGGCAAGGCGCTGGCGTCAGGGTAGGAGCTGCAGCCTGAAAGGGCGCTGCGTGGCGTCAGGGTGGGAGCGGCAGCCTGAAAGGGCGCAGCGTGGCGGGGCTGCAGGGACAGCGACTCCGCCGTCTCGTGAACGCCAGCTGGGTCAAGTTAGTGGCCACTCCCGGAGGGCGGGCGTCCTGCGGCCGTGCCCCCCGGCTCCTCCTCCTGAAGCCCGCCCTCCCCGCTCTGCTCGCGAGTTCGCGGCCCTCACCGGGTGGTATCCAGCAGGTGGAGCCAAGGGAAGCGGCGGCTACTGAGCACGCCCTCCGCGTTGGTACCGCCAGGGGCTACTCCACCCAGCGCCAGAAAGATCCAAAGGGCTGGGCCACCGCTCGCACGCCGGTCCCCGGCACGCGATATATCCCTGCGGCGCCACCTCCCCAGCGGGATCTAGATCATCATCGCCGAGTACGAAAGCTAAGTGAGCAGGCCGCTTCACTCTCCCGCCCCACCTCCCCGGAGCCACCTGGGCTGCGACATCACCTGATCTCCGTCCGCGTGGGAGCAGGCGCGGCACGCCGGGTGCTGCAGCTTGGCGCCAGCTCCGCAGGTGACCTCCTGCAGCCTGGCCCTCCCCGAGAAGGCTCCGCCGCCCTGGTGCCGGCTTAGCAGGAAAACTGTTTTGACCCCAAGACTCACCCCTCGCAGCTCTACCCTGCAGACTCCGCCCGACCAAGGACTTGGCACCGTGAGAGAGCGAAGCAAAAGTGCTCCGGAGTATTTACAGATTTGAAAATGCATCCGGTCTTGCACTTTTCTATCCTCCCATCCACAACGATCGACACGCTTGTTTCTCAAAACAAAATATCCTGAAAGACCATTTTCTTACTCTCTAACGATGCAGGGACCTCCAAACATGGCCATTATTCAGTTAGACCTTGCTGTCGCTCGCTTCATGTGATGCCTGCATCTGTCTCCGAGATTCCCAGCGAGAGCAACAGCCCCAAGAGAATGACAAAAGAACCATTATTTTAGCCTGTTCCACAATGGATTGTCAATGCAAAATTCATGCCTCGAGGGAACCTCACTGACAACTCTTTTGGCTCCTTCGCATTACAGAGGAACATGCTGAGGCTGAGACCTGCCTTAGGAATGTGGGGGACACAGAACTAGGTGGATTCCTGGGAGTCCACAAGCCAGCCAATCCAAAGGGTAGTCTTCAGGTTCCACAAGGGACTCTGTCTCAAGGGAATAAGTTCAAGAGTAGTTGAAGACACCACCCGAGGGCTTCCTCTGGCCTCTGCATGAGCACACTCCTGCACCCCCCACAACTGCATGCACACACGCTTGCACCCCCTCACCTGCACGCACACTCCCTACATACCTGCATGCACACACTCCAGCACACTCCTGCACACCCCCATCTGCATGCACATATTCCCCCCACACACACCTGCATGCACACACCCCCATCTGCATGCACATTCCCACACACCCCCACACCTGCGTGCACACACTCTCCCACACACACCTGCATGCACACACTCCCACACCTCCACATACACCTGCATGCACACACTCCCACACACTCCCCATCTGCATGCACATATTCCCACACACACACACCTGCATGCACACACTCCCACACCCACGCAACCGCCATCTGCATGCACACACTCCCATACACTCCCCATCTGCATGCACATATCCCCCACACACACCTGCATGCACACACTTCTCACACACCAGTATGCATACACTCTTGCATCTCCTACCTGCATGCACAACCCACACCTGAATGCAACACTCCCCCATATCTGCATGCATACTCCTGCAGCCCCACACAATTGCATGCACACACACCCACATCCCACGCACCTGCATGCACACACTCCCACATCCCATGCACCTGCATGTACACACTCCCGCACCCCATGCACCCGCATGCACCCCTACACACACACACACACACACACACACACACACACACACACACACACGGAAACCCTGAAGCCTATAGGCTTGCACCAGCAGGTTCTCTGAAGGTTCAGTTCAGTAAAGAATCGACCCTGAGAACAGAGGGGTTGGGAAGCCGTCAGACCTAGGTCAGCCTGAAGAAAGTCAGGTGCCTTTAGTTTCTGTTCCGTGTAAATCAGCTAAGGTAACTTTTACCTGAAAAATACTGTAGCTCAAACATGTAAATTTTGTCATTTAGTGTGACCAATGGCATCAGAGTGTGAACATCATTAAATTGATTTGTTTGATAAGCAATTATTTTAATATACAAAATTGATTGTGTCTAGATGGTGCATGTATTCCCATACATTTCCGCTGAATAATTAGGATCCAATGCAAGGCTCTACCTTGAGGCTCAATTCCTGTAATATTTGCTGGCCCTTGCCTTTCTCAGCTTTAAGGTTCAGTCAGTCTGTGTTGCTATGATTCTAAGAGATCGCTAGGCCACACTCTGAGTGATGGGTGTCGGTCCTTGAGAGAAGAGAAAGAAAACTGTGGTTGTGCATCCTAGCTACTAGGGCAGAAGAAGAAAGTGGGTGAGGATGTCTCTGGCCTCCATCAGAAGGGCACCCCAGACGTGGGCATAAGGCTTTCTTTGTCTATGTGTGTGTACAAAGTTGGAGGGTGTGTGTGTGCACCTGTTTGGGTGTGTGTGCCCATGGCTGTGTGTAACAGTGTAACCAAGCTCAGAAGTCTACCTCTGCTCCTCTCCACCTTCTGTTTCCCTGAATCTTGGACTGGTGGATTTGGTTAGACTGACTTGTCAGCAAGCCCCAGGCTCCTCCTCTCTTCAGCACCCCCAGCCCCCAGCACGGGAGGATACAAGCACACTGTCACACCTGGGTTTTTACATGGGTGCGCAGGGTCCCAAATCGGGATGTATGTTCACACAGTAACGTTTCACCCATGAGTGTGTTACCAGTCCCACATACATGTTATTAATCTTGGCTCTGTTCAAGACCACAGGGACCGTCTTTACTAAGAGTTATCCACACTTAACCTCCTGCCTACGAGTGAGGCCGACCGTGGAGGAGCAGGTCTGTCGCCACACTGTGACTACGAGGTCCAGAAGAGACCCTCCCTCCCCTCTACTTCAAGCTGTCAAGAACCTTAGGTCTGATAGGGATGGCCAAGAGTTTGTCTTTGAGCCTGTGCCAACGCCTGGAAGCCAGTTCTGAGGCTCCCCGGAGTTCAACACAGCCAGGCCTCTTGGCACAGCCCACTTCTTTTTTTGCCTTCTTCACATCCAGGAGCCCAGTTCCAAGGAGGTCCTGACAGAGGGAGCCTAGTCCTATCTCTGGACTGGATTGGTTTTGGTCAATATAATGAATCCAGATAAAGGTGGCTGCAGAGAAGGTGGCGCCCTCTGCTGCTGAAGCTTGAGACTATTCTGTTGTGAACTTTTCTTACTTGCCACGATTTTATTCAGATTTGGAGGAGATCCCCAGATACCGCTGTGACTGGGTGACTGACACACTCTGTCGAGCACTAGGCTAGAGTTCTGTGATGCAAAGCTTTACAATTCAGGAGGAGAAATGGTGTGTTGATCCTTTAAAAATATTTATTTTTTGTGAATATGGATTTTTGCCTGCATGTGTGTCTGGGCATCCCAACCATGCCTAGTGCTTAGAAGAGGATGTCAGATCTCCTGAGACAGGAGTTCCAGACAGTTCTGAGCTGCCATGGAGCCCGAATCTCTGGAACAGCAGCCTGTGCCTCCTCTCCAGGTGCATGGGTGGACTCTTCAATGTTTTCTGCAGCCTAAGAAACTGTGTGAGTGTAAAAATGCCGTCCGTCCTTCCTTCCTGCAGACTTTAACTCTTTCCACCCCTCCCTGTCGACCCTGTGCCCAAAGAGGGTTCAAATCTCAAGGCCAGCCTGAGTCACATGGCTGAGAGAGTCTTGTCTAACACGTTCACAGAGTCAAAGGCCAAAACATCACTTTACCTGATACTTCACAAGGGCCTAGGTGTGTGTGTGTGCACGCGTGTGCGCTATGGATATGAGACATTGCTAACACCAAAGAAATATTAAAATGGTCATTACTGCCAAATATACTATCTAGGTGCCATTGTTACACGCGCTTTGTGTTTTTTTTTTGTGGCATGTGTGTTTCAATTTCCATTATCTCATTTCTTGCAGTATTAAAAAAAACGATTTGTCTGATGTTATCAACATAATTGAGTCTCTCCTTGGCATTCCATTCCCTTGTCTGTGCCCTTGCCCAGGGAGAGTCTAAGAAAACAGTTTTAAATTCTATTCAAGATTTCTCCTCCGAAATCAAATCAACTGCCAAATATTTAATAAATTGGCCCTCGGGTTTCAGATCATTCAGCGTAAGAAATGGTTTGCCTGTCTAGAAACGTTGTATGGTTTAGGATGTACCATGTAGCTGCTAACCCTCGATGGACCACGAGCCACTTTAACAGAGGTGATGATGACAGTTACTAGGCAAGACTATCAGGGATCCTTTTTGCAGTTCATTGCTGATGATAGTTCTTAGTCATTGATCACCTATGAACTGGGAACCACAATGGCCTCCTACATGCTATCTCTGTAAGTTGGGAGCATAACCCCAGCCCCTGGCATCCATCCCAGACCACTTATAATAGTCCTGTGAAGTGGGTATCATTCCAGTTTCAAATAGGAGAGAATGGGAAATAGAAGGTCACTTCCGACGTGCAGTCGAACTTAAATATGAACCCAGGCCTGAGCCCAAAGCCGAAGAACCAGCCTGCCTCCATCCCAGACTTGAAAGCCACCAGGAAAGACAAAGTAAGTTCACTCCACTTAGGATTAGACTTCTGCTTCTCAAGGATTAGGCTATGTCCCACTTGTAACCTTAACCGCAAATGGTTCTGTGTTGCATGTTCCAGGAATGGTAATTATGTCTTTGTTTCAAAAGGTGTTTATCACTACCTTGCAACCCTACCTTGGTTTCAGAAGGTTATATGACCACCTATAACGACCTTTTTATAACTACCTGTTCTTATGACTACTTTGCTATTGCCTACCTTGCGACTATGTCTTTGTTTCAGGAGGGGCTACTTTGTTCTGCTTATCTTCTGCTCCTGTAACGCTGTCTATTTTCCCATCAAATCTCCCATCTGGACTCCTACCCCTAAGCTATGAAAGCCTTGTCTTCCTCACATCCAATGAGGACCTGTCGAATACCTCCTTAGGGGGAGGCAGCCCATATACAAGAATCAAAAAACAAAAAAAAAAGCTTGCTTTTATTAATTTGACCATGATGATTTGGGTTAGTGGTCTTTCTCCTCCCATCTTTGGGATTAACAGAGCCAATGCTTTTAGTCTTTGGTTGCTTTGTGCTGCTTTCCAAGGCCTCAGCCGTCCTTTTTCAGTAGCCTGTTAAATCTAGCCTTGGTTCCAAGCAGCAATCTCTCCCATCCAGCTCCTACATCCTCTGCTCACATGGGCAATAGCTCCTGGCCAGTTTACCAGGATCTGAAAA